CAAAGAGACAAAGAGAGAGAGGGAGAGAGAGAGATAGAGCGAGAGAGAGAGAGAGAGAGAGAGAGAGAGCGAGATAGAGAGAGAGAGAGAGAGAGTGAGAGAGAGAGAGCGCATATGTTTCTGCAATCAGCTTCTGTGCTCTTTTCAGTTCACAGACCCGAAAAAAAAATGTAGACAGGGATTGGTCACTCCAGCAAGGGATGAAAGGATCTCCTACGTAGAGTGCAGGACGATTCCCTTGCCGCATGGTCTTGAAATCATAAACCACTGTTGAGGATGTCGACAAGAACATAGCGTGATCCCTTTGAAGCAGACCTGCATCAATTCTGCAAACCGTATCATCTGCTTGTGCTACCACCGCAAAAACTGCAACTTACGCTAGCTCGTTTGGACAGGTTCAGAGCTTCATCTTACCAGTATAGAGCTTGAGCCTTCAAACCTCAAGCCTCTACAGGCTACCATCTGGGAGCCATCAATCCAGCGAACGGTAGACCTCAAAGCCTTACCCAAGACCTTGCTCCCTTGACCCTAGCTCTAAGCCCGAACTGCTCATCTGCGGAGGCTTAATGTGCCACTGGCTTGCGTGCCTTTGGGCGCTAACCTTGGAGCTGGTCGACGATAAGTTCCCCAAGTGGATGCTCAAAGCATGTAGGTTCAGGAATGCTCTGAGGGCTTCGGGTAGGGTTTCAACCTTTGTTTTGGTCTTCGGTGTCTACTAGGCATCTAGACCAAAATAGCTGCATATCCCAAGCTCTCAATCAACGTGGGGACCCCCGGACCCGGGGTTGTAGACAGGTCGTGGCTGGAGATATGTGGGAGCCTTCTGCTGTGGTTCGAAATTCTCAGACGTTATTGAAGTTTCTGTTGGTGCAATCGGGCTCGCAGGGGAACCACTGGCTTATGACACCCAAGCTCCTCATGATCCTAATTCTAGGGTTGTCGCAAGGAGGATGCCGCTATCCACAGAGTTTGGGCGAGACCATGGGACGTAGGCATGCATTCCCCATGCAGCCGTTGCTCAAAAAACAGTCAAGGATTGATGATATCCAAGCATCAGACCTCGAGTTCGGAATTGACACGCGGCAATCTCCCTACCGCGTCTACGTCGCTTCTTTCTTCTTTTGCGCTCAGATGGCAGTGTGCATGTTCCGCTGGTGGATGGTTCTGTGTTTCGCGTCCTGGGGTTGAGGATGAAGGATTTAGGGTTTGGCCGATCTTGGCCCGGGGTTTCACTCACATCGTGGTAGTTTTGTGGGCTTTTGTGGGATGGCCAAGTGGCATTTCTCTTCGACGGAGAAATCCTGTAAAGGCCCAACAGCAGTCAATTGCCATACTGCTTAACATTTCAGATGCACAGGTCATGTGGGCAGTTTTTGCCCTCACAAGGCCACCGCCCAAACGTCTTGAGCATGTCCATGGACTCAACTGGAGACAAGACGGTGGTATCTTCACTTATGTTTCTGGAATACCTGGATCCTAAAGCTGAAAAGGTAGGATCTGTAAGGCAAGACAACCAGCAAACGGGCCCCCAGGGTCCGGCACATACACTGAAAACTCTCCCATGAAATCCTTGTGGAGCGGTATATGGACTCAGAAGCAGGGTTGCGATTTCTGATGAAGCCTGCAGTACAGGTGCCTACACTGTCACTTCTGTTGGCTATGGCGACATCGCCCCGCAGAATATCCTGGAGCGGATTGTCGGCGCTGTGATTGTGCTGACTCTTGTCTTGGTTGTGGGTCTTGTTCATCAAGCCTTTTCCTACTGCTGGTGGCTTAAACTCGCATACAAAATGGTGCCAAGGATATCTGGCCTTGCTTGGGCCTACATCATTGGAGAGGTTGGTGCTATCGTGGATGACCTGACCCATGAGAGCCAGGACCCGCGTCATTGAGCATTATGATGTAATAGCACCACACCATAGCAGCGATTGGGCATAGGAAGGTCTAGACGAAACCCTGAACCCTTTTCGACAATTGGAGCCTTGAGCCTGGCCTCTTCTCTAGGCCCCATGATGTTGTTCCTCAATCGCGGGTTCTGGAGGTTCTGGGCTGTTGCTGCTGGAGGAGAATGAAAAGAGATGGCGCATTGGATCCCCAAGCTCAAACCTCGCTGCAGTGAGCCAGGAATTCCGACAGCGGATGCACCGGCTAAACACGACGCGTGGCTGTGTCAGGCAACACCGAGGTAAAGGGGGCCCACCGGGACTTAGATTCCAATTGAACCAAACCATCATCCCTGCCCCATTACCATGCACCCCAAGCCCTCCTCAGATCCATAAGCGTGGGTATCATTCAGCAATTTGGTCACTACGTGGGGGGGTCCTATCCTAGAGACGCTAGGGGCATACAGGGACGGTCATTTTTTGGCGCATGGCCCCTTCACGGCTTTGAAAGCTGAGGATGATGGGAGACCAAGGTTTGGAGCCGGACCACAGGGATTTCAGGGCTTCTTTGGATGAGTAGACATGTTTAAGCACCTTAAGCGCTGTTGAGGTGCTTAGGAGGTTGAGTCGGGCATGCTGTTGGGTAATGTAATGTAGTGATGTTCAATGCCCTCAGCATTCGTAAGGTGTCACGGGTGAAGGGCCGGAGTGAATGGGGAGACTTTGGATCGTGAGGATTAAAGATATTAAGGATGCTTACAAGGTTTCGGGGCCCCTTCCTTCTGACAAGTATGCACAGGTTTTGGGACACAATAATTTCTGAAACAAGGGGCCTTACTCGACCTAAACTCTACCAGGATCCCTAGGCTTGCAATTGATGACAATACTGCAGGCTTCCTCCCCTGCCTTGCACATTCTGCAAGTGTGGTAGCGCGTTCTACTCGAAAGGATATATGTGCTGGAGGGTCGCGCAGTGTGCTGTGGATGTGAAACTTGCTTGGACATATCGTGTAAATTAAGAGTGTTGACTGCAGCATCTACCGCCAGGACTTGCAATGTCGGCTCCGGCGCTACTTCCTGCAAAACAGGCGCAGTTTACCGATGCTACCATGCAGTGTACAGAAACGGAGATCTACCTGTGAGCTTTAGCGTTTGTAGAACACGCGTCTGCGGGTTAAGCGCATGTGGAATTTCGCGTGACGGTTCGAGAAGACCGTCCCGACCTCATCGAAAAGCCGGAATTCATCCGGAGCTCCAAACTCCAACACAGAAGGTCGAAGCATCACAGCTCCCATGATCCCTGACCTGCCTTCCTAGAAGCATGCATCCTCATTCGCTCGGACAACTCACGGCTTCATCTCGGACAGAAGCTCTTGCAAAGATCCCTGAACCAGATGCCGCAATCATCGTCAAAACAGAGCTCAGCACCGTCTAGTTGTCGGGTTTAGGATTCCAGCCTGATACTACTAAGCCGTGAGCTTCGCAACAGGTATCAGTCAGTGTTCAAAGAGCCTTGGCTATTTCAAAGTGCGTGTTTTTAAGGATCGGTTCAGTGTGGATTGCAGGGAATTCTGCCATGAAGGGATGCTAGGGATTCCTCATTTTGTGTCGTCATATCCCAAGCCGCGCCAGCCTCACCTCTCCAAATGCATCGCCTGTAATTAGCTTTCACTGTCAACAGGCGCCCCAACAGCGACCCAAAGAAATCAAAATCAAAAGTCCAAGGAGAGGCAAGCTTTGATGGAGCGGATGAGCCCTCAGCTTCGAGCTGAAGCCTGCATCGCCATCAACGGCGTCTGGCTTCAGAAGGCTGGGCCATTGACTTTGAGGTTGGGATGTGGGTGTGAATGGGGAGCAGCTTTCGCTGACGGAAGTTGTGGCCTAGGAGGCTCACTTTATCCAAAAGGCTGTGACTTGCTGAAGAAGGTTCTGCGTGGATTCATGTCTGATGGGAGTTACCAAAGGCCCTGCAGAAACAGGTAGAAGGCAGAACGCAGCTGGAAGGCTTGACGCTTGCGCTCTCTAAGTCGTAGTCTCACACTCAGAACCTCTTGCAAGTGCCCACAGTCAAACCAGTGCACCCTGAGACGCCAAGCATAAATCTTGAAATCCAGAAGACGTCGCAATCTGGAGGCTTCAGGCCCAGCATACCAGCAATCCCTGTATCAGGCCTGGAGCTAGTCTGAAGTGGAGAAGATTAAAGTTCCTAACAAGCTCGAGTAAGCCCCAACACTGCCTCAGGTGCCTTTCTTCAAGCAGTTCATCACCCACATACAGCAGCTGGAGAGTCTAGATCGCTACACGGGGCCCGAGGATGCTTTTCTGCACCTTTTTTGTTTTTCTTTTTTGTTTCTCGGATTTGTTGGGAGCTTTGAATTCTGAGTGCGAGCCCTCAACCTCTAAATCCATGTGGCAGGTTACCCATGATGGTCATTTTGTCCAGACTTTTCTGAGTCTGACAGGGTACATCACTATCGGATTTAGTCATGCTCAACGACACAAGCCCTTGACCTGCTTCCGCAAAGCCCTAAGACACGCAGGTTGGTGGTACTCAGTGCAATCTGCTGATGCTCTCCCATTGTAGGTCCATGAGGTCCTGTCAAACTTTGGGCAACTATCTTGACCTGATCCAAGGAGGCGTGCGTGGCCGACATTTCCAAGAAGCTCCAGCTTCAAGCATTTGCACAGGAAGAGAGTTTTGACAATATGCAGGCTGCCCGGGGTTCTTAGCGGGACTAGGATATCTAGACATATCCTGCGAGAGGACGTAAAGAAGTCAGAAGACATGCTTGATGGTGCGGCTTCAAGGTTTCTAGCATGCATCATCTCACGCTTCTCCTCGAAATGTTCACTGGGGGAGACAAGTTTCGACGAGAGTGAGGAGGCTCCTTGAGCCTCTGAGGTTTAACCAGAGGCTGTGGGTTGAGAAGAGCGGGATAGGGCCATCTTGGTTTCTCGCTTTGCAGGTTGGGGCACATCTACTTTAAGGGCTCGCATTGTCTTTCGCAGTCAGCTCATTAAATATAGCTTTATTCAGTAGTGCTGCTCAAAATGGCTCGGATTCCTGTAACATGCTCTCACGCCTCCTTCATTCCCAATAGCTTGAAGTAAACGAATTTTTCCACAACCTGTAAAGTCCACGGCTTTCTTTGGCGGGGGTCCTTGCGCTTGCAGGTCCTTTTCATCCTTTCCCGAGGAATGCTGGCTGTGTTTTGCCACAAGAGCAACCTTGGGAAGTCTTGAAAGCTTGTTTGTTCTGGTCTAACGCGTTGTGGGAACCTTTGGAGAGGGCTTTGTTACTTTGATAATTATGGATGATTGTTCATTCTTCTAGCAGTCGGCGCTGTTTGGGCGAGATCTCCCTTGGCGATTGAGAGTCCTTGCCTTTGGTGTTGTGACGTGGAGGCTGTTGAATTCAGAGTGTGGAGTCGGCGCGTTTAGGAAGTCAGGGGCCAAAACCGTTAAAGTGCAAGAACCTGATCCCAGACCCTGCCAAGCAAAGGCACAAATCCAAGTTTCTTTGAAGGGGCCAGCGTCTCTCGGAAGTCTGAAGCCATTAAGTCATTAAAACAGATAGAAAGATCATTCTTGACAAATGCGCCTTTGTGACTGTCCAAGCTGCCTAAGCTGGGGAACACATGGGGTGCAATGCGGTATGACCTGAGTCCAGTTTGACGAGGCCTTTTAACACGGAGCCTGATTTTGAAAGCCAACGGTCGCAGGAAGAGATCCCGTGATTACCCATACTGTCTGTATCCTGCGGAGCTTCCATATCAGGCATCCACTGCATCTACGTGAGGTAGGTGTTCACAAAAGTTGGGCGTCAGCCATTCTTGGGGGCACTTCCTTTGAAATCCGTACCTTCCACAAAAAAGTCTAGTCATGAACTTGACCAAAAGGTAATTTGTTCATCAACGATGCCTCTCGCAAGTACGGTTTCAAAGCACCGGGAGACTTGGCAACTGGCCTTTAGGGTTGATTGACCAAGATGAGGATGTGTGTTCCTTACTTCGCCGAAACAATTTGCAGTGAATGGCTTAACTAACTTAATATGAACAGCATCAGAAGGCAGCGCGTTCTCCTAAAAGTACAGCCATTCAGTTTGGGTTCAGCGTATCCTGGGGTTTGTAGTGGAGAGAGCCCTCTCCAATGCGACACTCTTTGCTGCAGAGCCCAGAGCTCGAAACCAAAACGAGGAGGCCTCAACACCAAGGCTCTTGGCTGGGTCCTCAAAAGTCAACGCGCACAGAGTAGCGAGCCTCTCTCCGCAAAGCTTTGGAAAGCGGCTTTTCCTGACAGCCCGATATGCTGGCTACTTTGCGCATGGAAGTAACCACTCAACGATTTGGTCCAGACTTGAGGTCGTTGGAATTTTTAATCTGCTGGAAGCGAGGATGCCGGAACCATTCTGTAGGACTGTATTGGCCCTGTACTATAATTCAGATCAGAGCCCATACTGAGTCATTCAGCATGTTCATCAGCATTTTCATTCACTCAGCGCAATCAGTTGGCACATCTTCCATGAGCTTTCATCCATGTACGATTCAGCTTCTTTGAACTGTATAAGCATAATCTGGTAAAACTTGGTATTGTGAGGTTCTTGAGATAGCCTCATACATTCAAAGCTTACACAGACAGAAAGCCCCTGACCCGAGGCCTCCGCACAAAGATCTGGTCTTCAACAGCTGCAGAAACAAGCTCCAGCGCTCCCACAGGCCCTTTCAAATCAAAAGAGCGTGCGAATCAGCAATTTTCCTGGAAAGTCTGGGGAGCTCTTTTGGATACGAAAATTTCTCCCCCGGGGCAAGTTAAGCAGGGCACCAAGTAAATTCTTCAACCGCTGGCCCAAGCTGCAACATCCTCTGCAAGGTTGGCAACCCGACACCCTAAATCCCTTTCCAAGGAGCTTTACTGCTCTACAGGTGTGAGCAAGACAGCCAGAACTGACAGCTGTAAGTACAAAAGATGCACAGAAAAGTTCGTTCGGAAGACTTGTCGCCCCAAGCCTAAACGCCCTAAAGGTTCAGCCCGGCCCTTCCACAATGAACGCTGTGACCATACTGCTGAGGAGAAGTCTGGGGAGAGGACTTCGTATTGTCGGATGTCTCTCTCATCCGTGCGCAGACCGGCTATGCGCTAACTTACTGTGAGGTCCTTTCGCTCACGCACAATGATTTCATGCAGGCGTGCTGTTTCGTTGGGTTACTCACCATCCTAGAGAGGATCTTCTCCGAGCGAAGAAGCGCAATGCCTAATGATATAGCGGCGCATTAAGAGACAGAGAACGTGTTCGATTCAGCCTTCTCAGCCTTTGCGCAAGGTCGGGCTGTCCATACACCCTGCATCCCTTAATCCGACCCTTGACCCCAACCACGATGCCACGATGTAGCCACCCCCGCTCTTACCCTTATAAGCACGTTTGAGTTGAGTCTGCGCAGGTCCTGCAGCGTCGGAGGCAGTCCTGCCCAGAGCTTTGGGAGATCGCCTCTGAGCATGCAACTAAAGGAAAGTGATTTTTGCATTTGCATGGGGATGACAGAAATTTGAGAATTCACAAGTGAATGTGAATGGTTTCTCAACCCTGGGACTCACTCCCAACACTTTTGTCCCTAACGCACTGCCTTTGAAATCTAAAAATAACTCAACATGGATGGTCAAGGCAAAATGGTCAACAGAAACACCTTCCTAAGGGCCTCCGTAAGATGGAAAACGATTTGCAAAGATGTGCCGCTACGAATCTTATCCAAAGCCAGGCAGCACAAAATCCAAAGAAACACAAAGAGTGTGGGCCAGCATGGAAGTTGCAGCCACAGCACGAGAAGAGCAGAAGAAGTAAAACAGAAGAAGGAGGAGGACGACGAGGAGGAGGATCTTGGGGTTTATGGTGTGTATAGGGCTTGCTTGCATGTAAGTCCTGGTTTTTGGAGCTTTCTGGGGTTGGGGGCCTGGGATTCCTTCGTCAGTGGTCCAAGAAAACCCTAAATTGCTGCACTCTCCTGCTCCAATCCTCATTCCAGCCCCAAGCAGGCTCAGCAGCTGCAGAATTGAGAATTGAGGCTTTGTGGCGTAGGATTGAGAGTCAAGGCTCTTCAAGGGTCGTGGATGGATGCTTAAACTTGTCAGGTCCGGCGATATACGATCTGGTTGGCAGTGCGCCGTGGAATCTATGCGGAGGTCAGCACCCTTCCAAGAAAGCGAGGAGTATTCTTCAGAACACTGCATTCGTTAACAGGCGTTTAGAGGTTTGGACAGCTGCAGTGGAGTCAAGAGGAGTGAAAAGCATTGTCATCGGCATCGTGCTGCTGCAGCAGGAGCAGCCGCAGGAGTAGTTGTAGCAGCAGCGCCAGCAGCAACAGCAGCAACAGTGCCGTCAGGTGCAGCAGCATTAGCCGAGGCAGATCTAGATGACGAGAAACTTCCACAAGGGTCATACATACATATATATATATAAGCCTGCACCAAAGCTTACATTCTGCAAGAAGAGCCCCTTACATACCCTGAAAATGCCGCGGAAGAGGCGCGTCGCCGGCTCCGGCGCCGGGAGAAGAAGATGGCACGCAACTCCACCTCCACGACCCGAAGCAGCTTATCCAAAGCGCTACTATTAGTCTGGCTTTCAAGGCTTAGGTTCCTGGCAAATGAAGCTCAGAGCTCTGAGCTGTAGGGTCAGGATGTAAAATACAAGTCTCAAGGTTTTGGAGCTGTGTCCCGGAATTAGATAGGACAACAGGCCAGCACCTTGGCCTAGGCTCATTCGGGACTATCATTTGTTGGAATTGCTCACAAGTAAGCCCTTGGTCTGCTTCCAGTACCTTTCATATCTTGGCTTCGTGCACACTGAATCCTTTGATCTATGGGCATCTCTGGCAAACTGCGCATTACAAGAGTACGGGGTCCAGGGCGTATACCTCCAAAACAGTATAGGCCTGGAGTTCAAAATCCTAGGCTTTGAGAACTGAACCTGAAATCCAAGCCTTCATCCTTCAAATTGAAACCGGAAGCAGCATGAAAGCTAGGCGTCACCCTAAGATCTACCAGCAAGCCACCGCCTGTGCTCGACGTTCAGGCCTCCGGTTGTAGTGACACAGGGGTTTCGCAGAACGATGGGCCCTTTTTGGAGTTCACCCAGCAAGCCCGGAAAACGGACCAGGATTTGAGTGCACATTGCTTGCCGTACTGTTGGATTTGCCAGCTAATTGGTATCGCGAGTATGCTTGCTGTTCCAGATGTTATTCCTACTGCGTTTGCAATGGTAAGCACTGTTATGACTACAAGGGGGCGTCCCTGTTGAAACTGAATAATACTGGAAGGCATTTGTAGATTCAAGGCTTGAGGTCGGGGCTACAAGATATGGGGTTTAGGTTTGGAGGATGAGGTTTTAGGCTTGCAGGTATCAAGCACGCTCGGCTGGCGTCTGGCATAGAAACCGAAGTTTGGACTTCCCGCACTGCTTTAATCATTTTCGGAAGACCCAAAAGTCATGGCCTTCAAAGCCGTCAAACCCCTACAGTCTTGAACCCACCCTGCACTCTTCCCTAAATCAACATGAAAATTTAAATTCGCTGCTTTCAGCAGGATGGGACTCTACAATAGCTATTTGCTCAAGTTCCACGAGTGAAGTTTTGAAGCTAACACGAAAGAGCCAGAAAGTTCAAGTGCACCCTTCCCTGAGCATCCTTGCCTGAAGCCTAGCTCCTCAAAGTATTAATGTTCAGTTTGGCCCCAGAGCAGGCGCCCAACCTGCCGCTGCCCGGCTTGGTCTCAGACAAGAGCGACAGGAGCCAAATGAGTCGGTCTTTGGGCAGTTCCTAAGGGTGTAGGGGTTGCTCAGATGAAGCTAAGGCCTGTTAAAGGCATGGGCGTAGTTTCTCCTGGCAGGACGGCAGCATATCCAACTAAAGCCAATGCCTTTGCCTGCGCTGTTATCTCCAGTTGTTGCAAGTACGTCTTTGTGGATCAAGCACGTAGGAAATGTACCAGAGTTTCCTGAGTCTTTTTCGAAGAAGGACTCCTAAGCTTTACAGAGCCAATATCCACCCAGTATGTATCACAAGTCCTTTGCGGTCGATATCACAGTCATAGTTTTTCTTGTTGTGCAGATAGCCCGTGCACAGCTTGGCCGAGGAACGCCTGCACTTTAAACGAATGCTCATGAAAGACAAGATGCGACGGCCGGTAGCAGTAGGAAGAGTTGGGGAGAAATCAGGCAATGCCCCTGGGCCAAATCCCCCCTCAAAAAAATCTTGGATTCTCACAGAACCTTGCTCACATTGGCTGGAAAGTCGGCTGTCAGCTAGCTACCTTTAATGTGGGCTCCGAAAGAAAATACAGCGGGCGTATCCCTCCTACCTCCTGCGTCTCTAAGCATGCAAAGTGCCCCGAAGGGTCGGCGGACTGTAGTCTCCGCTGCCTAAGATCGAGAGTAAAATTTCGGTGAATTTCGTTCAGGATTCTACCAAGTAGCATTCATGTGGCAAACTTGTGGTGGAGTTACACTTGCTTTGTGACGAAAATTTTGAAGACAAGAGCGTCTGCCTGCAGACTTGAGAATTGCCCATGAAAAAGATGCCGAGTCATATCAGCTCGGAATGCGGGAGGGCCGCCAAAGGCGACATCCTCTGCCTCTAATGATGTCCACGTGAGCAGCGATTCATGATTGAAAGATTTGGTGGAGCACCTGAGCTTCAATTGAGCCCTGATTAATAACATTTAGATCCTCAGGACCTAAAGGATTCACAGATGAAGTGTAAGGGTTTCAAGGTTGCATAGGTAAAGCTGGACTGAGGCTGAAATAAGCAGGCTTGGCGCCTGGATGCAGTAGGCCAGCAAGAATAGTCCGTAGTTCCTCGTGGTAGTTCCAAAGGCATGACTTGACAGCACAAAAATAGTCTTGATGATGTCACGAATCACTGCTCTTGTGCGGGCCTTTACCGAGAGGCTCAACCGGAAATCTAAACTGCCCAGAGTCTTGAAAGTAGCACCAAGACTTTAGGGTGAAGGGATCGAGAATCCAAACCCAGAAAGGGTTAAGAATCTATCCGATTCAAGATTGGTCATGGAACCTTCCTCGAAGCACCCAAGTCCGCGCAGAAATCCATACCCTCTGAACTCGGGGCCCTGAAGAGTGGCAAGTCCAACTCCAGCACAAGCAACAGCTACAGGCAGCACACTAACAAGAAGTCAACCAATCTTCTCGGTGAAAGATTTGGGAGTTGAACTATTGCAAATCATGTGGTGGAAGGACGGTCCTTTAACCCATGGGGGGTGAACGGGTCAAGCAAAACAATTGTGATCTCCTGTTCCCATGATCATGCACAGGCCCTTTTGTAAAGGTATTGCCTCGTCTTGAAGTGGCAGGAAACAAACAGTCACCTGTTCAAGTACCGGTTCCCCTTGAACTCATTACAGCGTACACCTAAGCATGCTTGGCTAGCCCTCCATGCAACCTAATAGGTCTTGTTCCGGCGTTGCGGGCACCAGGCTAAGAGTGATGCTCCAACTTTGCTTTGTTTGTAGGTTCATTGGTCAGCTGAAGACATGGCCTGTCAAGGTTCAGGCTTCATATGCATGTTGGCTTCGGGCTGAGGATTTCGCACGATGAAAGTGAAATCAACACTTGGCTAAAGCATGAAGGCCTGATCAGAAAAGTTCTTATCATCTTCAAGCCGTCATTCGTGGCACACGAGAGCCTCCGAGATTCGACAGGTCTCGATTTGCATGTCAACATGGGCCACCAACCCGCTGCAGATGTAATTAGGCTTTTTGGTTACATGGAGCTGTACAGGTTTTAAGGTATAATCGTGGGTAGCGGGGCAGGTCAACTCCCAGAGCCCCACATCGCTGAGCACAGTTGTTTAGCTTGAGATTTCAGGCAATTGATTCCCGAAGCGGGTTGTTGTTCCACGTTCCCACGAATCTTGTTCACACACAAGAGGCCCGCGGCAGATGGATAAAAATGTTGCTGTTCCAAGAAGGAACAACTTGAAGACAGACATTGTGGGAGTAAGAGTATATGTTCCTAAGCATCCAAGTAGAAATGACACCAAAATAAGCTCCATGGGGCTAGCCAAGAACTGATTGCTCAAAGAAGTGTAAAGTAAGGCTTCTGAGGTTTTGTAGCCTGACCCCAGACGAAGGTCCAGCAGTCTTACTGCATAGCTATAGCAGCACAGGAATCCTTTGCTATGAGATAATCATGAGGCTGGAAGCCTGCTGTGTTGACGCTCCATCCCCAACCAGGCTGCATTGGACGCCGATGCGAGGCCCTTCATCTGGACCTATATCATCCATAGAGTTGCCTGCAAGTAAGCCAATGATGTGCATTGCTCATGGTGCAACACATATGAGGCTTGCAAAAACTATGAATGGTTTGCATGCCCCTCCTGACAATGAGCCCATTCTTCAACAAGTTGGAATGTACCAGGAATTTTCATCTTTGGGAGCAAGGGCGTGTCCGCTTTGTGGCAAGACTTGCCAGCGGGGGACTAGGCATGATTAGCCGAGGGCAGGATTA